CTTTTCTTGCATATAAAAAATGTCTTATGTTTATTAGTTTCTGATAACTGAATGTAGTAATTTCTCTTAACGCAGGCATTTCAAATCTATCAACACACAAACCATAGATTATGAATATGCTAGACTAAGATGTTAGGATACAAATATCTTAAAGTAACAAAAGGCTAAAGTATTGCCCTTAATTTTTAATAAAATTAATTTTTATTTGAGATACAGATGAAAATACTTATGTTCTTAAATAACTTTCAAATTATCCTAAAATATTTCTAGATAAGAAAAAAAGCATTTCCAAATAGCTACACCATAAATATTTCTTAAATTTATTTCCTGAGATAAAACAGAAACATAGAAAATCTCAATAAGATAATCACTATTTATTTGCTCTTTTGAAGCAGTATGATTCAACAAACCTGTTTTAAAATGCAGCCTGAAACCAATAAAAATATGTACATCATATTCTTTTTTTTTAAACTGAATAAATGGCTTGAATTCATTGCCTGGTTGTTAAAAAGTGTATCTTTCATTCTTAATAAGATGTCATTTTTTATTTTGTTTTTTAATGATATATGCTAATTAAAACTGCTCATTCTAATTGAGCTAATATATGCCATTTACCTTGCAGTAAAAACAAACCACTTAAACTTTTTAATTAAGTAAGCACACAACTCAATTTACCCTCTTACATATGAACATTCTCAGCTATCTCACTGTTTCTTCAATTCTTTGCCACGAGCCCCCACCCCATACCAGAAAACAAACAAACGCCCCCCAAAACGCACCTTATAACCTCAAAACATTTAAAGGAAACAACAGTTGAGAAATTATAATCTATTTACTACTAGAAAAATGCTCACTAATATAATTTGTGAAGAATTATAAATTTCAAAACAGTTACTGGTCACCAGCCTTAAATAACAGCCCAAAGCACACATTAGTCAAGATGAGAAGGCACCAAATAGAACAGACCAAACACCCAAACACACACACACACACACACACACACACACACACACACACACACACACACGCGCACGCACACACAAATAGCATATGGTTTACATTTTTCAGAATCAAAATTAAGTCCTGATTTCACAATCATTTTTAAGAATTGGTATGATTTACTCAAGATTACTTCTTGATAACAATTCTACCTCAATTGGCTTCCCACCTAATCATTAGTCTGTATTAAGATGGTGCTGGTAGTGAAATGTGCTACTTGCTCCCAGTAAGATATGGCTTTGTAGGCTGTCAATTTTCCCCTTTCATTCCCATTAAGAACTAAATCAACATTAATAAGAATAGTGAGAATTCTGGGGTAAAGTGAAACTTGGAAGAGGATTTAAATTATTCCAATAGCTATTCATCACACTTCTCACTGTAATAGATAAGTCATAATCTATGATTCTGCACTAAAAAGACTTAGATTTCTTATCTTTGTTATTTCAGGTCAGGTGTATGTTTCTTAAGTTTATATGACACCTATTAAAAAAAAAAAGTAGATATTTGCCTAACAGAAGCTTTTGCAAATAATAAGGCAGACAACAAAGAATCAGTTTCCAAGAAAAAGTTGGCTTGATTTCAGGGACTTTATATCCTTTTCCACACCTGGGCTTAGGATCTGCAGAGGCAAATCATTCATTTTTCTCCGCTTGTGTTAGCCCACCCCAAGAGCATCTGAAACCACAGATTTTTAAATTACTAGAATCTTTACAATTAATTGTTTAAAACTGTGAATTCTTAAGAGTAGAAAACTGATTAAAATAAGATAGGCTTGTTTAAATTTTGAAGGAATTTCAGTATTTTTAAGTGTGATTAGTATCCAAATTAGAGTGCAAATTGATAGAAAGTTGGGGCTGTCAAATGTTATAAGAATATTGGTAATTTTATGAAGTATTATGTTATCATAACAAAATAAGGATTTTTAACCTCTTATAACTACTTAAAGCTCTCTCCATTTTAACCATCTTGACTGCTATGTCACCATGTAGAATATTTAAGTGGAAAGATTTGAAAAGATCTTAAAACAAAAATGCAATCAAAACCAAACCCCTCACCTGGCATCCAAAGGAAAAAAAGTCACATATTGTGGAGCAACGGCTGACAGACAGGATGAGCAAACACTTGTACAACTGTCAGTTTATCACCACCAACTTGCATGACCACGTGTTATTTATTTGAAATTCTAACTGCATCTTAACACAATTCTCTAAATCAGTATTTTCAAAAATGTATTTTGCTCAATTAATAGTTACAATCGGTGTCCATTTCAATCTTAACCATTTAATAGTTTTGAGTGAAAAATACTGTAAAAGCTTTCTTTTAAAAATTCAAGAATTTCAAAATATTAATAATGCTCTTAGCTAGAAAATAAAAATAATTTACTGGAAAAATGACCACATGTTTTTAATCTATTGCTTTAAACACTATTGATTATAGTGGTCACGGTTTATTTTTTGGCTTGCTCTTGAAAGAAGAGTCCTGAAACTGGTGACAGAGATTAATTTAAAATTTAGGATACATAACATCAATAAACTTTCACATCAAAAACACAAATACTAGTATTAACAAAAAACTACAAATTGTTTCAGGATTGTACTTCTCTCTTAGTGCAATTAAACTGATTTATAGTAGCTTAGCAAGAACTAAGGCACTGTGGGTTTCGAGCATCCACAAGAACCCTTTCCTTCCTGAAACCAGACTCAGCACAGGATTCCAGAGGACCAAGAAAAAGCCAGGGAGGTATGCTCACCCAGTTGCTGCACAGCATTGCTCAAAGTTACACAAAATAAAGCAACCCATGTGGAATTGTCTACTCACAAAAAACAATTTTCATTAGACACAACATTTTTCCTAGTAACCAGTGTTTCAAAATATTAAATTAATTTTTTAAATTAAAAAAGAAAAGACTATTACCCAGAAATACATAAGAATATTTGTCACTAAAAATTCTTCTGGAACATTTTAAAGAGAGATTTAAAACATGATAAAAGGATTTCAATGTTTTCAAGTCCTTGACACTTAAAATGTATTTGATAATCTAAATAATATACCAGAGAACAGTTTCAGCCAACTGTGGCACGCGATGGCACATTTACAGAATCTTAAATTTTCTTTTAATAATTAATGTAGTCATTTTGAATCATTCTGCATAGGATATCAGGTGTGAGCAGATTGCATTAACACTGCTTAAACATTTCAACTTGTCAGTATGGCCAACTCGATTTCGGAAATATTTGCAGTATTTTCCCATCGAAACAGTAATAAAGGCAAAATAAATATATGCCACTACTTTATAATCACCGAACATTAATGAATATTTTATGTCTTTTTAAATCTCCCTGTTTAATTTAAAAGGGTGAAATTAAGTCTCCTCGCTGCAATATGCCAATTATCTGTAAATCAAACAATAACTTGGCCATTATGCTCCTTTTTGTTAATATAAGAGAAGCTAATTTGAAAACACTGAGTGGCATTTTTAGGCTATCAGCTTAATAGAACATTCTGCCCTCTTGTGGGAGAAAGTGGAAACACATCCAAATTAGTTAAACTAGCAAGGCAAAGGGGGTTTGGGAATGGAAGAAACATCACACAACACTTTAGCTATTAAAAATTTCATCCAGAAAGAAAATAATTCCTATATTTATCCATCATATGTTATGTTCCTCTTCAAATAAAAAATAAATCAACTGTGAAATTTACCTCTTATCTTGCTTTATCATTTAACTGGATTTATTGTGAAGTTAAATACCCTTAATTAAATGTTCACTCGTGTATTTTGATTTTGTCAATGATCCTATAATAACTAACATATAGCCATATTTCAATTTTAGACCAAAAATGACTTTTCAAGAAATTAAAATTTTAAATTTAGAGCTCAGAACACCCATTATAAAGGCTAAAAATGAAACTGCAATATATAAGCTTGAAATTCTAGAAAATTCAAATAAAATATATGGATGAATTTGGAAGTCAGAGAAAGGGCTGCATGTTAATGCTTAGGTATATAATTAAGCAATTCAACTGATTAATGAAGAAAATAAACAGAAAAAGGAGTTCTTTGCAACAAATTAAAAAAAAAAAAACGCAACTCAGCAGTCTAGCCATTACCAAAACATTTTTTATAATTCTAAAAAATGGCTTGTTCTTTCAATATTTTAAGCAATATGGTCTTAAATTTTTATGTAGCCAAGATTTGGCATGATCTAGTCTTTTAAAATCCAGGAGTAAAAAAACAAGTGAAGTAAGTTTCATAAATTATGATGGTTAATATGAAGTAAGTCACTATTCTAATGTTGCTAAGCATGAAAGTCCTGTCAAAGCCTCCAATATTCCTCACCTGCCTAAGGAGAGAAATCATTGGCCTTTAGATGGGTGGGACCAAAGACATATCAAAAAGGTGTCTTTCTTCCATAGGTATCCCTTTTCTCACTTTTTTTGAAACAGTAACTCTCTTTGGACATACTGAAGAAAACATAGACAGTATTAGCAGAGTCTTTCCAGATAGTCTGAGCTAAATGACAGTCTCCACATCTTATGAATTCTGCCCAGAGCTAGGACTGAGCTGCTTTAGAAAAGACTCTTCAAATTCCTGTTTAAAACACAAGCATATGACATAAATGCATGACACATTTGAAACTGACCTTTCAAATAAAATAGAAACCCTACACAGTGAATGCTGTCAACAATCTCCACGTTAATATTTTGAATAATTAACTATAAGGCCATGAAATATTCCATATAACGGGCTGTTTGTTTATAAGCAGTTTTTTAAGCAGAGTGTTTTAAGAATGATCAAGAGCTCCCACTTACAACATTTGTATTTCTAGGTCAAGTCATTTAGTGTTTCTACAGTAATCATTGATACTCCAGTTAATTAAAATTAAAAACCCAATAATGAAACATAAAGAGAGTTTCTACCAGAACAGATAAGCCCTCTCTAACAGGGTCAACATTAGCTATAATGAGCTACCTTTATTCCTCAGCTGTGAGACATAACTCACCTCTTGAATGGTACTGCTTCCTGAGAAGTTCAGGTTGTACTCCCGCTGGACTTCTCGGTGGGTGATGATCAGCATGAAGTTTTGATTTAATGACTCCTGCAGGGCACTGAAAGGGTTGAAAGAAAAACAAGGAACTCAGAGATGAACAAGTTCTAGCTTGCTTCACAGCTAGCTGCAAAAACCCCAGGAGTACCCTAACCTCCACATAGGCATGTCCGGGCCCAATGTTATCATCTTCTCAGCTCCTAAAGGCAAGAGAGCATGCTGAGAGCAACCAAGGGGAGCTAACCTGTTAACTCCTTCTCTACCAAGGTGTTTTCAAACTTGTATTGTAAATACTTCATTTCAAATACTACATACTTTCTACACTTGTCTATTTTCTTATTCTTCCAAGAGAACCAATTGTCTAATTGCCAATGATATTAGTATCTATTAAAATATTTATTCAAATGTACTGAAACACTGATTCAATTCTAATGAAACAGTAGTCTAGAAGAGAACCATAATATTATTGTTTACACTTAAAAATGCTGTATAAAAATAAGATAATATGTTTTCAGCAAAAATTCAGAAGATACTGAAATCTACAGAATTGTAACTGCTTCACCAAAATTCTTTCAAAATAACTGTGCTTTCACTTAGGATTCAACCATATAAGAATTCAGGAATTGAAGAGTTCAAAGCAACACTTTTAAAACCCTATAGTAAAGTGCCCAGATGTTAAAAAAAAGTATAAAAACCACAAAATATATGTAATCAGCCACATAAATTAAGAAATATAAGTCATGAATCTATTTTATGTCATTAAGAAAGGTGATAATCAATAACTTAATAAAAATGTATTGCTATTATCTTCAAATAGTCTGCATGGCCTGTCCAGGGTGTAATTTGCCATAGCTATAGCCTCAGAAAATATTCTGAGTGTGCTACATAGATCTGGCCTACTTGGCTCCTCTTTTGAGGATCTGGAACAATGCAATAAACACACACAGAATAAAGATGAGAATTAGGCATTTAATTTGCCCACCCTATTGTCTGCCAAAGATTTCATAGGTTATTAACAGACAAAAAAATACAAAGGAAGCATAGATATCATAAAATAATATTAATAAATTTTAAAAACTTACACCCAACTAAAACACAAGTTTCTTGAGGCAAGGACATTTGTTATTATCTCTTTAGGACCTAAGCAAAATACCTGGTACACTGAAGATATTCACTTAGTAATAAACAAATTTCCACAAGGTAAGAGTCATATTCATCTTTGTCTTTCACACAAGGTCACAAAACTGTCACTCTAGTTATAGTATTTTTATTTATTTATTCTTAAAGCAGCATAGGTTAATGCCTCGCAAAGGAACTCAATCTAAATAAAAATACACAGTTCTCTGAAAACCTCAGTTTAATAGGGATACATACACATCACTGCCAATAGAACTGAAATAAAAGTTCAATGAAAACTGAAACAAATGTGCTTAACACTGTCCTTGGTCAAACAGTAAAAGAGTCCATGAGAAAAAAAGGAATCCATACCAAGACCCATACAAGTTGAAATTCATAGGATCTTAGAACTGAACACTCAGAATACACATCTGGTGAGGGGGGAGACACAACTTTGACACTGTTGTATACCAATCTATAGTCAAAACACTCCAGTTTCTAGAGAAACCATGAGGAAAAAAAAAAAAACAAAACAAAACAAAACATAGTCCTTGTTTCCGTGAAACTTACATTTCTGGTAAAAGGGACAAAGTAAATGGGAATGCCATGTACCACGAAGAAAGCAAAACAGATCATAAGATACAAAATAACAGAGAGTCAGGGGAATCCAGTAAACAGAACAGCTGAGAAAGGCATTGCCAAGGAAAAGACCTATAAACTGAGGTTATCATAATACAAAGGCAATTAGCAAAGGTCCAATCATTTAGGTTCTCATAGCAACTGCACTGGAAAGCCACTGGAGGGGTTTAAAGAGGGTTATGTTAAGAGCTGACTTCTATTTCCATCTTTGTAAGGTTTCTCTGTGTGCTCTAACAATGGACAGAAAGACTAGAGATGGAGGAGATGGGGGACAGACTGAAATCACAAAAGAAGTGAGGAAAGGAAGAAGAAATGGTAAAAATATTAAATACAGAATACAGGTTAGAGGCAGAAGATGGAAAACTTACTGATGGAGGACAACAGAAAAGTTCAACCCCAAGATTTCCAGTCTGAGTAAACACAAGGATGAAATTTTATTTAACAAAAACAAGTGGGTAGGAAAATTGAGAGTAAAGTTTTAGATGAATTAAGCTTGACTGTATGTTAGACACACAAAAAGAAATTTCACTGTTACATACAATGTAAACACCAAAGCCAGGTAAAAAGTGAACTCAGGACTTGGATGGTGAAAGCAAGAAGACAGAGCTCAAAGTCATCCTCAGTAACAAGGCAAGTTTGAGGCCAGCCTGGGCCATGTGTAGCTCATTCTCTCTCAGAAAACAAAACAAAAAACTAAAAGACAACAAACACACAAAACAGCCAATTAAGAGATATTAGAGCAGAAGAGACAAAAGCATGCAGGCATATGGGAGATATGTGACTTTGTGCCAAATGAATCTTGTGAGGAAAGAAGTTATTAAGAAAAAAACAGATCGAACCCTAAGATGGAACCCTAGAACGCTCCAAACTCAGAAACAAAGCAAAGAAGGAGTCAGTTTAAAGAAGATTAATGGTAAGGAGAAAAATCAATAAAGACCAGTATAAAACAACAACAAATAAAATAACTGTTTCAAACAGAAGAGTGGCTTCAGTCATGCTAAAGGCAAGACACTGGTACAAAAAGGCCAGGAAAAAAAAAAAAAAAAAAAAAAAAAAAAAAGACCCATGTGCTGGCAACCTCAAAAGGCTCTGTATGACTATAATAAAGGAGTTAGAAATAAGTACAACAGCCCGGCATTGGTGGTGCACTCCTTTAATCCCAGCAATGGGAGGCACAGCAAGGCGGATCTCTGTGAGTTCGAGACCAGCCTGGTCTACAAGAGATAGTTCCAGGACAGCCGCCAAAGTCACAGAGAAACCCTGTCTCGAGAAAACAAAATCAAGACACGTGAGTTCAAGGCTTGGTGTCCAACAAGCAGCATTTGGGGTAGTGGAAACATTTAGGATGTGGGGCCTATTTCCAGAAAGCGAGTTTTGGCCATATAGAAGGCCTGCCCTTTGAAGGGACATAGGGATCCTGGTGTCTCTTCCTCTCCCTTTCTCTCCTCTTTGTCCCTACCCACCTACCCCTAACCCCATACTGCCTTGCCAGAGTAACAGGGTCAAACATGCATGAACTAAAACTTCTAAAACTATGAGTCAAACAAAACTTCCTTCCTTATTTAAAAAAAAAAAAAAAAAAAGTTCAGGCCATGTGAGTTCTAAGCTAGACTGGTTTACAGAGTGATACCCTGGACAGCCAGGGCTACACAGAAAAACCCTGTCTCAAAAAACTATTTTTAAAAAAAGGAGGAAGGCGGGAAGGAGGAGGAGGGGGAGGGATATATTATGGAAGACTACAAAAGCTAGGCTAAGGAACTCAGAATTTCAAAATCTTTACTATTTTATATGGAGAAATGAATACAGAAATACAGAAATATGTATACTTTTTGTGGTTACATTTATACAATTTCTTAGATCTGTTTCTTGGTTTTGCTATCAGACTTGGGCAATAATTTTGAAGACAAGTCTGACAGGACCAGCACCAACTGCTGCACTACTGAGAAGAAAACCATTTAGTCAAGTTCTATAACTTCTGGGTAGCTGTGAGATGGAACATATACACATACAGAGACACAAGCCTAAAACTGCTGGGGAATTGGATAGCAGGTTCTACACTTCTGCTCTACCAGGTCGAGCTGTCTGATCATGGCAAGTCGATCGTTCTTTCAGCAGTATTTGGAGAATGTCTAATATCTAAGTCCTGTCTTAGACACTTGACTATCCATAAATACTCAGTTTCCTCTTCTGAAAAAAAGATAAATTCTTCCCTTATACAACTATGAATATTGAACTTTAAAATCCAAGAGTGGATTTTTATTGCATAAGTTATGAGGTGGCTTATTATAACACTGAAAATAGAACACTTGAGAGATAGTCAGACTTTAAAATCTCACAGTGATAGTGTAACACCAACAAAAAGATCTACAGTACTTTTGTAGCAATTATTCTTCATGATTTATGAGTTTGTACAGGGAAAAACCTTTTTTGTTGGGGTTGGAGAGATCATCCGGTAACTAAAATACTTTCTGCACGAACCAGACCTGATTCGTGCCCCCAAACACCCAGGTAAAAGGTGGCCTATGGCTGTAACTTCAGCTCTGGAGATGGGGCAGGGTACAGACAGGGATATATATTCCAGAGGTTACCTGAGCAGTCAATGTATACCTAATAGTGAGCTCTAGTTTTGTGATGAGAGACTATTTCAAAGAGGTGAGGTGGAGATTGACAAAGGAAAACACTCAAATGGACCTCTGGCCTCCACACACAGGTGAAAGCATCTACACCCCCCCCCCACACACACACACACTGCTTTACTTGTATACCGAACCTAAAATGCCCAGAATCATAGTTGGGTTTGTTTTTTTTTTTTTTTTTGGGGGGGGCATTTATAAAAGTCTTATTTCAAGTTGATCTACCATATTCATGATTCTAGGAATATGATTTGTCTACTGATGGCAACATCCTCCATTTCAGACTCTAGCATAGATCATTTACTTCATCATCAACAATTAACAGTTGGTATTGCCGGGGTTGGTGGCGCACGCCTTTAATCCCAGCACTCGGGAGGCAGAGGCAGGCAGATCTCTATGAGTTCGAGGCCAGTCTGGTCTACAGAGTGAGTGCCAGGATAGGCTCCAAAGCTACATAGAGAAACACTGTCTCGAAAAACCATAAACAAAAACAAAAAAAAAAAAGTTGTTATTACAAGTACTATAACATATGAAGTATTAAGAATTTTATAAATTTTATATCGAGTATATGACATTATTATAATCACTTCCATGTCACAAAGGAAATGGACACTACTTTACTTGTTCAATGTCACATACACAAAAATGTGGCATTTTCTCAGGTCTAACTACA